CCCATCCGTGCCCAACACCTGTCTGCTTCCTCTGCATTCACCAATGTATCTGTGCATGCACATGTGGATGAAGGGGTGGAGCCCAAGTTCTGAGGGTAAGCAGTGGGTGTCAGGGCAAAAGCTAGGAGCGGAAGGGAGCCCAAGCTGGAGGAGGTAGGGCCAGGGGCACAGGATGTGGTCTGCGAGAACGAGCTACACTTCTCCTTTGCTACAGCGGCCCCTCCCCCAGACTCTTCCTTCTATGGGACCAAGGAACAGAGTCCAAGGGGTGCCAGGGGCCTAAACATAGCAAGTGTGCTGGGAAGAAAGATACTCACAGAGCTTGGAAAGCAGGAGGAGAGGTTCACAACGATTCAGCAGCACAGAGTTTTGGAGGACAAGGAGACACACAGGGCAGGGTATGGGCAACTCTGGGTTTTTGTCACTTCCCCTTTCCACCCCAGGCCAGGAGCATTCTGCTTAGGGAGAGGGTGCACAGGAAGAGATCTGGAAAAGACACAACTCACCTCACCTAAAACCTGGGCCCTGACAGAACTGAGGAAGGCAGAGAGGGCTTCTCAGGAAGCTGGGATTTTCCCGCTTCACCACACAAGGGAACTCACAGGAGCCCTGGCTGCACCCTGAGCCGGAATGCTGGGGGAGGAGGCTGGGAGGGGACAGGAGCTGGGAGGGGCTGGCAGTTCTTGGTAGCTTTCCCCAAGAGTCCACTCACTGAGACAGAGCCCTAAGGAAGTAAAGAATAACATTTGGTCTTTGTCAAAAACAAGCAAGGGGGAGGGGAAAGAGAACAGACGGCAAGTGTCACACAGCTGCTGAGGTCAATCTGGAGCTTAGGGGCTGGGGGGGCATCTAAGAGGGATAAGAACGCTTTGTGGGGCTCACTCTTTCAAACTTACTTGCACAGAGGGCAAGAGAAGTTAAGAAGTTTAAAGTGGTTCTCCCCAGAACAGGAAGGGGAGATTGTACCTGGGCCTGGTTGAGTGTGTGCAGGCAGGCAGCCACCTGCCTGGGAAGAAAGGCACACTTTTATTCAGCCCCATGTCCCCAACCCTCCTCACAGCCCAGCCTAGCTACAGGCTTCAGGAATACAGTCCTCTTCCCTCCTGATCCCTAAGCCCAGCTGACAGCCCAAGGTCACAGGCTTCCTCCTGAGCAGCTGAGGCCTGACTTACATGTCCTAGCAGAGTCCCCACCCGCCACAACAGATACCAGGGTGGAGGGAGCATAACTGGAGGGATCCTTCGAGTAGGGAGTGGAAAGAAAGTCTGGGGGGGTGGTCAGCACTCTCAGCTAGGAGATAGGATTTCCTTCCTGTAGGCAACTGCCTCAAGCCTCTCCCCCAGGGAAAGCAAAAACCGAAGTGGGAATTCTAGGGTCCTTATGAGGTCACAGACTCGGCAGAGACTACACAAGAAGGAGGAAGAGTCTCAGATAAAGAGGTCAGGAATGATAGGCGGAAGAACTCAGGAGTGGTAAAAGATTTGCTCGTTTCCCATAGGCTGCCTGGGTGAAGAGTGGAGGCCCGGCCCGGACTTCAGGGGGCGGGACTATGGCAAACATCCCAGAAGAAACATCCCGTTGTTAGGGACGATCTATGGGAAAGAGGTGCCTGGGGCAGCTCGGATCTCGGTGGAACGGGGAGGAGCTGGAGACCACGAGCAAGGAGTGGTTAGAAAAACTCGGAGGCTGCGTTAAGGAACGATCCCAACTGAGGTAGAAGAGGTCATGAAAATGAGCCAAGCGGGTGAGGGGCGGGACCATGGCGCAGGTGCGCAACAAGCAAATAAAGACAGGAGGGGTTTCAACGTTCACTCAGAGACACTGGGCGTTCCGCGAAGGCAGAAGGGAGCTCGCAGCCCAGGGATTCTTACAGCGGGAAGCGGGTGGTCGCAATCCCACGCCAGGCACGAGGGGCGGGCCACCCCGCAGCCAGGTGAAAGGGCGGGCCGGACGCAGGCGGGAGGAGCTATGCAAATGAGGGTCGAGCTCCGGCCCGCGTCCGCCGCACTCACCGGCTTGAGTGATGTCTGACAGGTCGTAGCTGCGGGCCGCACCCCTGGGGAAGTGCTTCAAGCGCCGGTTCGACAAGTTCAGGGTCCCGGTGGCCACGGCTTCCTCTAGGGCTCGCTCTGCGCTACGGCTCCCAGGCAGACCCGGAGACCCTGGCACTGAGGTCGTGGTAGCCGTCTCCTCTCCTCCAGCGGTCACTGGCGCCGCTACTGCCGCCGCCATCCGCTCCCGGCGGCTCCCGCTGCCTGACTGACGGGACCGGCCGGCCCTCCTTTCCCCTCCCCCTCCTCGGGGCCGCCGTAGTCGCCTCCAGGGGGAGGAAGCGGGGTCAGGAACCCAAAGAACCAATCGCGATCCGGAGACGCATAGGAAGCGGCTAATCAGAATCCCCTGAGGGGGTGGAGCCTAGAGTCCTGGAGCCAGGCGAGGGAAGGGAGGGAGAAAGAGTAGAGCGCTCGCCAACGGCCGCAGCTCCTAAATCGGCCCGCCCTGCGCAGCCTCATCCAATCACAATCCCTAGGGCTAGAGATGGAGCCAATCAGGTCCAACCCGGAGCGGAGACGTTAGCATTCATCTAGTATAGGGCTAGAGACCCAAGACCGTAATCCGGATCCCCGCCTCCTTTCCCAATAAAGGCCAATCGCGAACCAGACCCCGGTGAGTGACTGTCAAGAAGACCAATTAGAGCCTTCGGAGAGAACCTGGCCCGGCCCCTTGCCCGAAGGACGGCTCTACCTACCAATAGCATGGGCAAGAAGGCGATCCCTTCGCTAAGGAGGGGAGTGCTAGAACTTTTAGAGTGAGGTAAAGAAAGTGAGTGCGGCGCGCTGGACCCCTGGGATTGCAGCCTAGGGGCTGGAGTAACGCGTGTGAACCGGACGTGTGAGGGAGCTAGCCAGCGCCTGGGGCGTGAGAGAGGCCGAGGGCAGCCTGAGACCAGCGCACAGGCAGTTGTCGGAGGCGAAAGGGCTGCCAGGGCCATTTCCGGCTGCAGAGGCGGAGGCTCTGCGAGGGGCTGGGGACCCCCGGGCCGTGGGGGACACCCCGGAGCCTATGGCCGTCCAGAGAATCGAGGGGGCGTTGCCCGGCTCCCCGTGTCACCAGGGGAACTCCCCTGGGCAGGAATTGTAATAACCCGACCTCAGTATTCTGGAAGCTGTTCTAAAAGGACTTCGCGATCTGAGCAAAGCCTTCGCTGTATGAGGAAGCTGAGGCAGAGGGCGGCAGAGGAGCCAGCAAGAGCAAACAGCAAGGTCCTGACAGCTGAAGTTCGAAACCTGGTCTCAGCCGGAGTGGTGGCGGCGCAGGGCTGTCATCGCAGCTCTCTGCAGGGCAAGGCAGGAGGATGGCCTGCCTGCGCTGCATAAGCGAGTTCAAGGCCAGCCTGCACTACGTAGTGAAACTATGCCTCAAAAACACAAAATAAGGGGCTGGGGATTTAGCTCAGCGGCAAAGCGCCTGCCTGGCAAGCTCAAGGTCGTGAGTTCGGTTCCCGGTACCGGAGAAAAACAAAAAAAA